ATAACTCTCTCTCCTCTGCTTTTATCCTTCTAGACCTTTCTGCTGCCTTTGATACTGTGAACCATCAGATCCTCCTCTCCACCCTCTCCGAGTTGGGCATCTCCGGCGCTGCTCACTCTTGGATTGCGTCCTACCTGACAGGTCGCTCCTACCAGGTGGCGTGGCGAGAATCTGTCTCTGCACCACTTGCTCTCACCACTGGTGTCCCCCAGGGCTCAGTTCTAGGCCCTCTCCTATTCTCTCTATACACCAAGTCACTTGGCTCTGTCATATCATCACATGGTCTCTCCTATCATTGCTACGCAGACGACACACAATTAATTTTCTCCTTTCCCCCTTCTGATAACCAGGTGGCGAATCGCATCTCTGCATGTCTGCCAGACATATCAGTGTGGATGTCGGATCACCACCTCAAGTTGAACCTTGGCAAGACGGAGCTGCTCTTCCTCCCGGGGAAGGACTGCCCACTCCATGATCACGCCATCACGTTTGACAACTCCATTGTGTCCTCCTCCCAGCGTGCAAAGAACCTTGGCGTGACCCTAGACAACACCCTGTCGTTCTCCGCTAACATCAAAGCGGTGACCCGATCCTGCAGGTTCATGCTCTACAACATTCGCAGAGTACGACCCTACCTTACACAGAAAGCGGCACAGGTCCTAATCCATTCACTTGTCATCTCCCGTCTGGATTACTGCAACTCGCTGTTGGCTGGGCTCCCTGCCTGTGCCATTAAACCCCTACAACCTAGCCAGAACGCTGCAGCCCGTCTGGTGTTCAACCTTCCCAAGTTCTCTCATGTCACCCCGCTCCTCCGCACACTCCACTGGCTTCCAGTTGAGGCTTGCATCTACTACAAGACCATGGTGCTTGCCTACGGAGCTGTGAGGGGAACGGCACCTCCTTACCTTCAGGCTCTGATCAGACCCTACACCCAAATGAGGGCACTACGTTCATCCACCTCTGGCCTGCTAGCTCCCCTATCTCTACGGAAGCACAGTTCCAGCTCAGCCCAGTCAAAGCTATTTGCTGCTCTGGCACCCCAATGGTGGAACAAGCTCCCCCACGATGCCTGGACAGCGGAGTCACTGACCACCTTCCGGAGATACTTGAAACCCTACCTCTTTAAGGAATACCTGGAATAGTATAAATTAATCCTTCTACCCCCCCCCCCCTCCCCCAACAAAAAATAAAAATAAATAAAAAGTGGTTGTCCCACTGGCTATCATAAGTTGAATGCACCAATTTGTAAGTCGCTCTGGATAAGAGCGTCTGCTAAATGACGTAAATGTAAATGTATGAATATATATACACACTACCAGTCAAAAGTTTGGACACACCTACTCATTCAAGGGTTTTTCTTTATTTTTACTATTTTTTTTTACATTGTAGAATAATAGTGAAGACATCAAAACTACGAAATAACACATATGGAATCATGTAGTAACCAGAAAAATTTTAACAAATCAAAATATCTTTTATATTTGAGATTTACATTTTAGTCATTTAGCAGACGCTCTTATCCAGAGCGGCTTACAGTGAGTGCATACATTTTTCATACATATATTCTTCAAATAGCCACCGTTTGTCTTGATGACATCTTTGCACACTCTTGGCATTCTCTCAACCAGCTTCATGAGGTAGTCACTTGGAATTCATTTCAATTAACAGGTGCCTTCTTAAAAGTTAATTTGTGGAATTTATTTCCTTCTTAATGCCTTTGAGCCAATCAGTTGTGTTGTGACAAGGTTGGGGGGGGGGGTTACAGAAGATAGCCCTATTTGGTAAAAGACCAAGTCCATATTATGGCAAGAACAGCTCAAATAAGCAAAGAGAAACGACAGTCCACCATTACTTTAAGACATGAAGGTCAGTCAATCCGGAACATTTCAAGAACTTTGAAAGTTTCTTCAAGTGCAGTCGCAAAAACCATCAAGCGCTAAGATGAAACTGGCTCTCATGAGGACCGCCACAGGAAAGGAAGACCCAGAGTTACCTCTGCTGCAGAGGATAAGTTCATTAGAGTTACCAGCCTCAGAAATTGCAGCCCAAATAAATGCTTCACAGAGTTCAAGTCACAGACACAGCTCAACATCAACTGTTCAGAGGAGACTGCGTCAACCAGGCCTTAATGGTCGAATTGCTGCAAATAAACCACTACTAAAGGACACCAATAATAAGAAGAGACTTGCTTGGGCCAAGAAACACGAGCAATGGACATTTGACCCGTGGAAATCTGTCCTTTGGTCTGATGAGTCCAAATTGGAGATTTTGTGTTTCAACGGCTGTCTTTGTGAGAAACGGTGTGGGTGAACGGATTATCTCTGCATGTGTGGTTCCCACCATGAAGGAGGAGGTGTGATGGTGCTTTGCTGGTGACACTGTCAGTGATTTATTTAGAATTCAAGGCACACTTAACCAGCATGGCTACCACAGCATTCTGCAGCGATACGCCATCCCATCTGGTTTGGGCTTAGTGGGACTATCATTTGTTTTTCAACAGGACAATGACCCAACACACCTCCAAGCTGTGTAAGGGCTATTTTACCAAGAAGGAGAGTGATGGAGTGCTGCATCAGATGAACTGGCCTCCACAATCCCCCGACCTCAACCCAATTGAGATGGTTTGGAATGAGTTGGACCACAGAGTGAAGGAAAAGCAGCCAACAAATGCTCAGCATATGTGGAAACTCCTTCAAGACTGTTGGAAAAGCATTCCAGGTGAAGCTGGTTGAGAGAATGCCAAGAGTGTGCAAAGCTGTCATCAAGGCTATTTGAATAATCTAAAATCTAAAATATATTTAGATTTGTGTAACACTCTTTTGGTTACTACATGATTCCATATGTGTTATTTCATTGTTTTGATGTCTTCACTATTATTCTACAATGTAGAAAATAGTAAAAATAAAGAAAACCCATACACAAAAAAATATGTATTCACGCATGACTGTAAGTCGCTTTGGATAAAAGCGTCTGCTAAATGGCATATTATTATTATTATTATAAAAACCCTTGAATGAGTAGGTGTATCCAAACTTTTGACTGGTACTGTATATATATATATATATATATACAGTGGGGGAAAAAAGTATTTAGTCAGCCACCAATTGTGCAAGTTCTCCCACTTAAAAAGATGAGAGAGGCCTGTAATTTTCATCATAGGTACACGTCAACTATGACAGACAAATTGAGAGAAAAAAATCCAGAAAATCACATTGTAGGATTTTTAATGAATTTATTTGCAAATTATGGTGGAAAATAAGTATTTGGTCACCTACAAACAAGCAAGATTTCTGGCTCTCACAGACCTGTAACTTCTTCTTTAAGAGGCTCCTCTGTCCTCCACTCGTTACCTGTATTAATGGCACCTGTTTGAACTTGTTATCAGTATAAAAGACACCTGTCCACAACCTCAAACAGTCACACTCCAAACTCCACTATGGCCAAGACCAAAGAGCTGTCAAAGGACACCAGAAACAAAATTGTAGACCTGCACCAGGCTGGGAAGACTGAATCTGCAATAGGTAAGCAGCTTGGTTTGAAGAAATCAACTGTGGGAGCAATTATTAGGAAATGGAAGACATACAAGACCACTGATAATCTCCCTCGATCTGGGGCTCCACGCAAGATCTCACCCCGTGGGGTCAAAATGATCACAAGAACAGTGAGCAAAAATCCCAGAACCACACGGGGGGACCTAGTGAATGACCTGCAGAGAGCTGGGACCAAAGTAACAAAGCCTACCATCAGTAACACACTACGCCGCCAGGGACTCAAATCCTGCAGTGCAAGACGTGTCCCCCCTGCTTAAGCCAGTACATGTCCAGGCCTGTCTGAAGTTTGCTAGAGTGCATGTGGATGATCCAGAAGAGGATTGGGAGAATGTCATATGGTCAGATGAAACCAAAATATAACTTTTTGGTAAAAACTGTTTGGAGGACAAAGAATGCTGAGTTGCATCCAAAGAACACCATACCTACTGTGAAGCATGGGGGTGGAAACATCATGCTTTGGGGCTGTTTTTCTGCAAAGGGACCAGGACGACTGATCCGTGTAAAGGAAAGAATGAATGGGGCCATGTATCGTGAGATTTTGAGTGAAAACCTCCTTCTATCAGCAAGGGCATTGAAGATGAAATGTGGCTGGGTCTTTCAGCATGACAATGATCCCAAACACACCGCCCGGGCAACGAAGGAGTGGCTTTTGTTATTGACCAAATACTTATTTTCCACCATAATTTGCAAATAAATTCATTAAAAATCCTACAATGTGATGTTCTGGATTTTTTTTCCTCATTTTGTCTGTCATAGTTGACGTGTACCTATGATGAAAATTACAGGCCTCTCTCATCTTTTTAAGTGGGAGAACTTGCACAATTGGTGGCTGACTAAATACTTTTTTCCCCCACTGTATATATATATATATATATATATATATATATATATATATATATATATATATATATATATTTGTTTTTTTACAAATCAATACTTGGAGTCAAGGTATCGATATAATATCGTCCAAAATAACATCGCGATATGTAACTATCCATTTTTTCCAACCATCACTACATTACAGTGTATACCCTGTAGACAATCTATCTCTGAGTGGAATGTAGGAAGTTACTGGCCTTGGCCAAAACCAGTTTTACATAAGCACTGCACTAAAAGAGAGTGACATAAAGAGCTGAGCCAGCGTGTTGCTATGGCTATAGGTTGCCAAGGTAATATATGGCTGTTGCCATGACAACAGCAAACTCACCAACCATGCAACATGCGGAGAAAGGGGTAAAAAAAAAATCAGCAGGCGAATTAAGGCATAATAGATAGATCAATTGTTCCTCAATTGAAAATAACTATTTAGATTAAACTATGAATTAAACATTAAGAGGAAATTGACATCTTCAAAAATACATTTGTAATAGGCACTACAATACTGTCAGGGGCTGTAGTTTGCACCAAAGCAACATGGGTATCAAGGTATATGAGGCTGACATTCTTAGTGATGGAGGAGGGCTAACCTGAGATCCCCACAGTGTCACACACCATAGATACTCCGTAATCAGCTCCCTCCAACCTGCTCCACGGACACACAGGACAGAGGGAAGATAAATACAGTTAGTTGGACAACTGGTAAGGGTCTGACTGGGCTGTAATAAATCTACTACTGTAAGACAAATCATTAACTGACATTCATTAACCAACAAGTCTTTGGGCAAAAATATGTTGGTGTTAAGTCACGGTTAGAAGGCTTTTTGATATTTAACACTGTAAACTAAACTACAGATGTGTTTGTTCATACTCACAATGCAGGGTTGTTTAGTAAGTTACTGTTGGTGCCGTGGTAATAATGCGTCTTCCTAAGCACCTCCAGAAGAGCATGTCGATATTCTGGACACACGCACCACAGTGAGCCCTTCCCCACCAACTGAAAATTAAATCATACACAATCTTCAATATTACAAAATACCATTATTTCAAACAAAAAGCTAGACCATGCAAACTGACACATTGAAGACCAGTGAACACATCTCACCTGGCACTTGTCCCTGTGAATCCGACGGAAGCTCTTACTCAGAGACAGGTTGTGTCGAACAGAGTTTCTCCATCCCCCAGGTGTTGCTCTGTAGTAGGGGAAGCTGTTCACTATCCATTCATAGATACCCTTTACTGGGAGCCTCTTGTCTGGCGAGTCTTCTATCGCCATGAAGATTAGACTGCTGAAGGAGTAGGGGGGCTTGGATGGGGAGGGAGGAAGGTGTGGGGTAGGTATGAGATCCTGGGGCTCCAGCTGAGGCAGTGGTGTTGTTTTGGGCAGGGGCTGCAGGGGAAGCAAGTTTCCTCTTTCATGCAACCAGCTGAGGCAGGTCAAGTCATCTTGGTCAGATGTGGTTGGAAAGTTGAGGCAGTGTGAGTTTTGTCCATCAAGGAACAGAGGGGGGGACAGGGGGTGTAAAAGAGGGGAGAGAGGTTCAGTCTTGAGGTGAATGGAAGTTGTAGCTGTGGGAGAAAGTGAAGTAGGGGATGGTGGGATCGACAGAGGAGACAGAGGCAGTGAAACATGAACAGTGGAAGAAGTTTGCAGAAGAGAGGAAGAGAAAGGCAGGCACTGGTAGAGAGTGGCGGGATAAGGAAGAGATGTAGGGAGGAGTGGCAGTGTGTGAGTGTCACTCTCCATCTCTCTCCCTGCAGCAGACTTCTTATGCACTCATTCAATAGTTGGTCTGTTGGGCAAAGCAGAGCAGATAAACATTATTTCAATGGCATGGGAAAAAAGTCAGTTAAAGTTGATGGCAATGCATTTCCACAGTTAGAAAAACGTAGACAAACCCAATTTATAATAGCCTTTGTAGACCAGATCAGATGGTCTTACAACATTTAGCCATTAATTCAGTGAGTAACAGTCTACTGGTTCCCAACCTGGGGTACTCGGGCTATCCATTGCGGGTACTTGGGAAGACTCATAAGACCATAGGCCTACTGGTAAAATGCACATGAGGGAGTACTTTGTGGGTTCTCCGGACTGAGCAAAATGTGATTCGGAGTACAGTAACCAACAAAGGTTGGGAATCACCTTTTGGAGAAAAAAAATCGCTCTTCAAAAGCTTCACTGTGCACCCCCTGCTCCAGGAACATTCAGTTGGTAAGAATTAAAAAAAAAAAATACAAGCTAAAGATTAAGACAAAAGTCTGAACAAAGTCCTCCCCTATGTTTTTTTCTCTCCATTTCACTTCTATAATGGATAAATGATTTAGCTATAGCTACTCGCATTCAGACAGCTAACGTTAGCAAATAGGCATTGGACAGGTGCATGCATAAAATCCTTTTGATTGGAAAACAACTTATTTTCAAAAGGGTAATTAGAGCATTCTGCTCATGAAGCCACACGGTGCTCAACAAAGCTGCTCAATGTGCTCATACTTCGGAAAATGGCGGTAGAATATAAAGTTACATTTAGCACAATCAGTCAAGCAGTCTTTTGTCAAATACCCCTCTGGTGCTGACAGAAATACTTAAGAGTATAAAAAAGAATGCATTTCTTACCTATAAAGCAACGTAAATAGTTGTCAGTGGATATAAGTGAAAGTCTTGAGTTAGGCTAAATATACCATTCGGTTTAAAATATTGTCCGATTTCCATACAAAGAATCGAAGTCTAATTCCCGACTGTCCACGATCTCTTCCAGCGTTCCCTTGGAAACCAAAAGGACGCTTTGCAGAATGCGCGCCACCTGCGCGTTCCCGCCTTAAAGATACAGTTCAGGCTTTTCCCAACAAATTCAGGATGATCCAACTGAGCAACAGACATTTTTCCATTTAAACTTAACATTCAGTTAACAAAATGACAAAGGCATGGTTAAAATTCTATTTTATTTTTTAAAAATGCTAACAATGTTGTTCATGCTCCACAAAGTTTAGATAAATAATAAAAGGAGGGATTAACAGGGAAGGCTAAAATGGAGAGGGCACTGGTAGCACATCCTCCAAGTAGCTCAATCATTTTCCATTTAACCACATTGCAACATTTCTGGTAAACCCAAATGGACAACATAAACAGGACACTTTAGAGGAAGAACTGGAGTGTGGCGTGAAACATTTATCATAACTTCCAATTTCATGAATACAAAGCCCTTCTTTCTCTATAAATAAGGTGGCCAAAAATGACTGTCTGTAAAACACTCATGGTGGGAAAACATAAAAGCCTTCCATTGTGACAAGTGATGTCTTGCATACAAAAGTCTCACACCTACAAAAGTCAAAAATAAATGTTCATTTAAAGCTTTAACCCACAAGCTGAACACAAGATAAAGCTCAATATCGATTATCCCGTTTTCCCTGGCAGATGAGCTGAAAGGCAGGTAACAGTGACACTCACAAGAAGGAAGTTTGTAGAAAGCATCAACATGTGTTTTTTAAAAGCTTGATACCAATGGACCTTAGGGTCAGACCCCATACCAGGTCACCTGACCAGATGTGAGGTGAGCCAGTAGATAATGATTGGCTGAAAAACTGCGGTGGCCACGGTGATGTACAGGCGGAGTCTTGGTTTGGCACTCGCCCCAGCCCCCATGGAGTCATGGGAGAGAGACGACAGAATCTTCATTTTGAGAGAGTGGACCTGATGGGATGATCAAAATTATGTTTACTCTTGGAAATAAAGTTTAAAGTAAGAAAAACTAATTAAACCATGTCAACTTGCTTCCTATCGTGCATTAAGCATGCATTACTAGTTAAGAGAATATCTGAAACATTTCCAGAGTTCTCAAGTACTTACAATGAAAAACATAAGGGCACACGATGACCAGGTGAGAGCCACGAAGTACCCATCACTGCCAAACAGCAGACCACCCAGCACTGTGAAAATCATCCTAAAACATAGAATCATCATGCTAAAAAAACAGGGGTATCATAGTAATGTGTGAACAAATGTAACAACGTGAAGTTAAAACAAATCTTACAGAGTCTAGATAACAACACAGATCTATTGGAGCCCTTACCCCACATATTTGTATCCACTGTAGGCAACGAGGTCAAAGATGGATAGGTCAGAGTGAACAGAGAGAAGGTAGAGACTCAGCAACATGACCAAGACCTCTATGACAACCCACACCAAAGCAGTGCTGGCACACAGACCAAGGACCTCTGGACTGAACCTGCCATTGAAGAAGAGACAATAATAATTATGAGGGAAGAACTTTAGTTTGTTGATTAAGTTACAAGTACTGTGTTAATGAAATGAATAAATTGTATCTGTAACATTACAGAAATCATATATTTGCTTGACCGTGTTTGTACAGTTCTAAAGAAAACGTAGTTATAATTATAATAATAGTTGAAGTAACCTCTTCTGAATGCCAAGGGCCATCCCAGCTAGCAAAATGTAGGTGATGAAAGCCATTGCTGAAAAACAATACAGTAATAAACAAAACAATTCAAAGTGTGTATTCCAATTCAAAAGATTCCATCATGAAAGATGAATGATATTAAACATCTTTCTGATATCATAAAATTAACTTACACGGTATGTAAAGGTCGGGCGCATTCACATCATGCCTGGGTGTGAGAGGAGTGTCTCTGTGGTAACGAACTTCCCAGTCCTATTGAAATAACAACATGTGAAATGTATTTACACATCATAGAGAAGTTATTGCTGAAAATAACATTGATCAGGTCACAGAATGTCTGTTTAACAATGTATCCTAATCTGAGTATGGAAATTGTGTGGAAACTGATCAGGCTTGTTAATATAAAAATTTATGAAACACAAATGCAGCGGTCCTTTTTACATCCGTAACAGAGGCAATGTTAATCTTCTGTGTGACCTCAACATCAAAACACACAAGTGCTAGCAGAGTGATTATCTTGTTTGGAGGCCTGACTATTAGATAGGTGCAAGAGAACATGAGACGAGACGAAGGAGGAATGCCAAGACTATCTCCATGACTTTGACACACCAGTGTGTGCTACAGTGCTGTTGGGTATCATACTCTGTGGAACATCATGTGTAAGGATGTGATATGACGTAATAAATGACTTGATTACCTGGTGTGTGTATGGAAACATGAGGAGCAGTAGTTTCTTCATTACATATTTGGAATCAACGGCAAAGAAATACTTCAGTTTGTTCACAGACACGTACCTGCTGATCTAAAGAGACAGAGATTGCACAAGTGAATTTCTCTGTCATCATAAGCACAGTCAAAGATGGTTGGCGCAGTCTCATCCAGCATCAAGAGTCGGACAGAGTAATGTGTCACAATGCTTCTAAGGAACAAACTATGAAAGAGGTCAACAGTAGGCTCCATCAGGCACAAACTAAGCCAAGTAACAGATGCAGACCAGCTCTAGAGCTCATGTGGCTACCTCATACACAGCTAACCCTAACCATCCAATCTTTATCCATATCTGGCTGAAGCCCTTTGATAAAATCTCATCCCCGAGTTGATCTGAAAGGATCCACACTTGAACGCAATGCCTTCGGAAAGTATTCAGACCCCTTGACTTTTTCCACATTTTGTTAGGTTACAGCCTTATTCTGAAATTGTTAAAATTGTTTTCTCCCCTCAATCTACACACAATACACCATAATGACAAAGGAAAAACAGGTTTTTAGAAATGTTTGCTAATTTATTCAAAATAAAAAACTGAAATATAACATTTACATAAGTATTCATACCCTTTACTCAGTACTTTGTTGAAGCACCTTTGGCAGCAATTACAGCCTCGAGTCCTCTTGGGTATGATGCTACAAGCTTGGCACACCTGTATTTGGAGAGTTTCTCCCATTCTTCGCTGCAAATCCTCTCAAGCTCTGTCAGGTTGGATGGGGAGCGTTGCTGCACAGCTATTTTCAGGTCTCTCCAGATATGTTAGATCGGGTTTAAGTCCGGACTCTGGCTGGGCCACTCAAGGACATTCAGAGACTTGACCTGAAGCCACTCCTGCACTGTCTTGGCTGTGTGCTTAGGGTCATTGTCCTGTTGGAAGGTGAACCTTCGCCCCAGTCTGAGGTCCTGAGTGCTGTGGAGCAGGTTTTTGTCAAGGATCTCTGTACTTTCCTCCGTTCATCTTTGCCTCGATCCTGACTAGTTTCCCAGTCCCTGCCGCTGAAAAACATCCCCACAGCATGATGCTGCCACCACCATGCTTCACCGTAGGGATGGTGCCAGGTTTCCTCCAGACGTGACGCTTGGCATTCAGGCCAAAGAGTTCAATCTTGGTTTCATCAGACCAGAGAACCTTGTGTCTCAAGGTCTGAGAGTCTTTAGGTGCCTTTTGGCAAACTCCAAGCGGGCTGTCATGTGCCTTTTACTGAGGAGTGGCTTCCGTCTGGCCACACTACCACAAAGGCCTGATTGGTGGAGTGCTGCAGAGATGGTTATTCTTCTGGAAAGTTCTCCCATCTCCACAGAGGAACTCTAGAGCTCTATCAGAGTAACCATCGGGTTCTTGGTCACCTCCCTGACCAAGGCCCTTCTCCCCCGATTGCTCAGTTTGGCCGGGCGGACAGCTCAAGGAAGAGTCTTGGTGGTTCCAAACTTCTTCCATTTAAGAATGATTGAGGCCACTGTGTTCTTGGGGACCTTCAATCCTGCAGAAATGTTTTGGTACCCTTCACCAGATCTTTGCCTCGACACAATCCTGTCTCGGAGCTCTACGGACAATTCCTTCAACCTCATGGCTTGGTTTTTGCTTTGACATGCACTGTCAACTGTGGGACCTTACATAGACAGGTGTGTGCCTTTCCAAATCATGTCCAATCAATTGAATTTACCACAGGTGGACACCAATCAAGTTGTAGAAACAGCTCAAGGATTACCAATGGAAACTGGATGCACCTGAGCTCAATTTCGAGTCTCATAGCAAAGAGTCTGAATACTTATGTAAATAAGGTTTCCGTTTTTTATTTATTTATACATTTGCAAAAAATTCTAAAAATCTGTTTTCAATTTTGTCATTATGGGGTATTGTGTGTAGATTGCTATTTTATTTTATCCATTTTAGAATAAGGCTAATGTACCAAAATGTGGAAAAAGTCAAGGGGTCTGAATACCTTCCTAAGGCACTGTACCTGCTGCAACTCTAGTGCATTCAGCTGTTAGTTTTTTGGAACGTAGCCATCGTCCCAATGAAAATGAGACCAGCCTCTAGTGTGATTCTCTCACCTCCTTGCTGACAATATCCTTTCCCTGGTTGGCCAGGGAAGAGCCATACATCATGGCTGTACTGGCCATTGGGTCAGCAAACAGGTTGTTGACCCCAGCATCCCCTGGTCCTCCAGCTGGAGCCCCTCCCATGTTGTATCCAGTAGTGTAGTAACCCTGATTGTTCATTGGTGGCGCTGCAGAACTGGTATCTTCAAAGAGGAGAGGGTCCCCAGCGTGGGGAGCTGCACGAGCTCTTGGCTTTGCTACAGATGGAGATGAGAACTGGGACTTGTGAGATAGGTGTGTTAGTCAGTAGTAGTATTGTATGACGTCATATCAGACATATTTTGTATTGATAATAAATGTGATGTGAAAAATGACTTCATATATTATTGTAATAATATTTGTGTATTTAAGGCAGGTGTGGAGCTAGCTGGGGAACCTTCAACTCCGTTCTCTTATATCGAGGCTGAGTTGAGTTTTGATGACTGGTCTCGGTATCCGTTTGCAACAACATTGTCACCAAAAGTCGATTATTGTAAAAATAAACATTCTGAAAACGTTTACCCGTAACTATGTTTGTCCTGTACAACTGCGGTCCTTCCACGGGGTGCTGAAAATACTTCTAATAAACTTTATGCGAATACAACCACCGACTTTTTCCTCGTTGCTTATACTGCGTAAACTGAGATTCAATTGGTTCCGAGCACTCCGGCATCATTGGGACTTCAACGAGAAGAAAAAAAAAAAAGTTGGTGGTTGTATTCGCTAAAAGTTTTTATTTAAAGTATGAATTTCAGCACCCCACAGAAGGACCGCACTTCTACCAGACAAACATAGGTACAGTCATGCGTTTTTCAGAATCGACTGATGGTGACTCAATGTTGTTGCTAGCAAATTCCGCGACCCAGTCATCAAATCTCAACTCAGCAGCCATATAAGAAAACGGAGTTGAGCCGGGGTTCCTCAGCTAGACTGTGGACCATGGCAATATTGAGTTACAAGGCAATTATGAGATTCAAAGAGTGACAATAATGAGTATTCAACCTGTAACTACCTTGACAACAACAATTCATGCATGATGCAATGACAGCCTTGCCTAAGCGAGCTAGTTAAATTTGCTAGCGTAGAGAACCTTTTAGCTAGCTAACGTTACTTACCACTTGCTCGGTAGCCATGTGGAAGGTCCATTGTAAACAGCTGTTCAAAAATAGAAATGTTCGGGTTTGATAATGGTTTGCAACGCTCCTTCATATGTTGCTAGATCTTCACATCCAGTAGTTAGCTAGCCATTTTCAATCCTGGCTAGTACACTACTAGCTAGCAAGCTATAGCTGTTTTCTGTCGCTATACTCTTGCTAGTTCGCTAATGTGCTAGCTAACTGAAGCGCTGGTTCGTTTTTGCCACCATTTCTGTGAGAACAATTCACAGTTAATTAAAGTAGAATAACATATTTCAACGTACACAATTATTTAAAACCATAACACTATGACCTAGTTAAATATTAACTATTTAAAAAGCCAAAACTTACACCTACCTACGTGTATGCTGGTGCTTCCTAGAACCCGCCCCTTTTACTTTACCTTAACCTATTATTGGTCTTCTTCTCTGTGCCTGCGTGGCAGCGTGGATAAGCAAAGGTCATTGCTATTGGGGATCCTTGGGACGTCCCAACTCTGAAGTTACCCCCATTGAAGTTGAAATTTAAAATGGTTAAGTTAAGGATCCATGGTAGGGACGTCCCAATGATTCCAGATAGCACTAACTATAAGCAAAATACTTATATCAAAGAGTTGTATTGTTCTATTTGCACGTATATTGGCCCAAATAAAGATTGGTTCTGACTAGAGGGAGTACAGCTACGACCGGAATTAACTTTTTCTTAACAGGTTTGGAGAATTTAAAGGGCGTTATATGGTCATCTGCATTGGCCGTGCAGCATATGGTGAAACAGCCTCTGCAGAAGTCAGAGCATTTTCAGTCTCCAGTATCTATGCTGCAATAGTCTATGTGCCGGGGGACTAGTCTGTTATATCTGGTGTAATTCTCCTGTCTTATCTGGTGTCCTGTGTGAATTTAAGTATGCTCCCTCTAATTCTCCCTCTCTCCCTCCCCTCCCGGAGGACCTGAGCCCTAGGATCATGCCTCAGGACTACCTGGCCTGATGACTCCTGGCTAGCCTGATGACTCCTGTCTGTCCCCAGTCCACCTGGTCATGTTGCTGCTCCAGTTTAAACTGTTCTGCCTGCGGCTAGGGAACCCTGACCTGTTCACCAGACGTGCTACCTTGTCCCGGACCTACTATTTTCGACTCTCTCTCTCTCTCTACCGCACCTGCTGTCTCGACCTCTGAATGCTCGGCTATGAAAAGCCAACTGACATTTACTCCTGAGGTACTGAACTGTTGCACCCTCTACAACCCGTGATTATTATTTGACCCTGCTGGTCAACTATGAACGTTTGAACATCTTGAAGAACAATCTGGCATTAAATGGCCATGTACTCTTATAATCTCCACCCGGCACAGCCAGAAGAGGACTGGCCACCCCTCAGAGCCTGGTTCCTCTCTAGGTTTCTTCCTAGGTTCCTGCCTTTCTAGGGAGTTTTTCCTAGCCACATCTGCATTGCTTGCTGTTTGGGGTTTTAGGCTGGGTTTCTGCTGATGTAAAAAGGGCTTTATAAATACATTTGATTGATTGATTGATTGATTCATACTTCTTGCGCTTTGCGGCACAGCGCAGAGCTGTTGTGGAGGAAATTGTCAAGGAAGTGAGTTTGTGTTTATACAGGACCTCCCGCCCCCACCTACCATCAACCAATCATGTCAATGCGGAGCTATACAGAGCCCTCTGCATTGTTACAACATTTGGGAGGCCCACAGCGATGTGGGACTGAGCTCAATTTGGCCTCCGGAGGCCCCGCGATTGCGTCACCTCCTCCATACAGAGTCTCCGACCACATTTTCGGATCAAGCATAAATTGGCTCTCCTAACCTGCTACGAAAAGTATCTTCCGGTTGTAGCTGTACTCCCTCTAGGCACAACCATAAAGATGGTTGTCAGTAGTTACCACAGCCACAAAGTCCAAATTAGCTATATCTTAAAATGTCATAAAAACAAAAATTAGCTTTTTGTCTTAATTTAAGGTTAGGGTTAGGCATAAGATTAGCAGTGTGGTTAAGGTTAAGGTTAGGTTTAAAATCAGATTTTAAGAAGATCAAATGTAGAAATAGGTAGGGTTTAGCCATAAATATGACTTTGTGGCTGTGGTAACTAGTGACGACCAATGAAGATTCAGCCTATGCAATGATTGGTTTTCATGAAATGTTGATATTCATCAGCTCCTTCAACCTTGGCCTATGTAAACAAGGATAGGCTCTATGCACGCATCACTTCCGCATTGGCGTAAGGATGCTTGGTCATTTCCGGTTACCGGAAAAAAACATTACAGTGACAGTAGACCGTTATGATGGCAGAGATGAAGTTTACAAGGTGTTTGCTGGAGTTGCCTAAAGTATCTGTTAATGATATACGGATGGTCGTCCGGACATCCAGTACGACACCACGTAGCAAACTGGATAAAGGCTTCAAATTTTACGTTTCTTCTTTTCTTTGCAACTTTGAAGGTAATATGCTAACGCTAGCTAGCCTGAGTTAGAAGCCTTGCTTTGGTGTTTTAAGTCATGACTCCGTCCTTCTTCAGGTTAATCATGCTTTAAATAAAGTTTAATCATGTGTATATACCTCTCACTTCATGTGTTTGTACTTTTATGAAAGTATCAGGTAAAAACAGGGCTACAAATGAGATCTCTGTGAGAGCCCACTGCTACCGCTCAATCAAGAAACTAAAGCCACCACACCAGCTGAGAGTAGGACTAGATTAAGTGACACGTTCAAAGTCTGTTGAACTTGTTCAAGGTTCCGTTCAACACATGTTTTACTCGTTTAATGTTACCACAGCTTTGATTGCCATTGCTAAGAGAACACTTTAGAACTTTAGTGGTTTTCACGATAGCTGAACAGTGGTAGCCTAATACAGACCAGGGTAGCTGAGTGGGAATTGCCATGCTTTGTTGTTGGGTCTGTTGTAAACAAATTGGAGTTTGGTTTGAAATGTAAACAATAATGAGATGACTACTTTTTCCTGACTTGATGACTGCAATGACAGTAACATATTCCACTCAGCTATTCTTCAAACTGCTGATGGTCTACTCAAAACTGTCCTGTCATCTTTACTTCTTTCTTTATAAACATATGGCCCAACTTCCTTGCTTTTGTACTTGATGTTTCTACTTTTCAAGAGGAATTAGGAGCAAAACCTTCACTCTACTGTTGTTATTGGTACTAGGCTACAATGTTGCACCACTCACCTACTGCTCTGCCAATACTGTTTGAAGGTAGGTAAATGGCACAAGACAATAGGTAAGTGGTGGGAGACAGTATAGCCAAGTGGTAAAAATAAATAAATATATAGTAAAAAAACTAACAGAAGAATTGCATCTGGCAGACACTGTACATTGCGGCACACAGCAGTGATGGCTGGAAGAGCTGTCATCCCGTTTTTGAAAGGACACTTTCGTACGTTTACACGTCATCGTGTTATAAGTCAAGACGAAGTATTACAAGTAAAAACATTAACATAAACATTAAGATAAACAACAACAACGACGAAAATTAACCGTTTCGGATGTTTTTGACGACAAGCATTCAATGCTAGCATACGGTAGCACAGCATTCTACGATAACCGGAAGTTTACATCCATCCTGAGATTTAACCGGAAATACGTCATGCTCGCCTGTGCATATCGCCTATTGTTGTAGTCTTTACCATGTCAAACATTTAGAATATCATGACATGAATACACATATTCTAATGTGTATATATATGCTACACAGAAAGCGGCATAGGTCCTAATCTAGGCACTTGTCTTCTCCCGTCTGGATTACTGCAACTCTCTGTTGGCTGGGCTCCCTGCCTGTGCCATTAAACCCCTACAATTTATCCAAGTTCTCTCATGTCACCCTGCTCCTCCGCACACTCCACTGGCTTCCAGTTGAGGCTCGCATCTACTACAAGACCATGGTGCTTGCCTACGGAGCTGTGAGGGGAATGGCACCTCCTTACCTTCAGGCTCTGATCAGACCCTACACCCAAACGAGGGCACTATGTTCATCCACCTCTGGCCTGCTAGCCCCCCTACCTCTACGGAAGCACAGTTCCCGCTCAACCCTGTCAAAGCTATTCGCTGCTCTGGCACCCCAATGGTGGAACAAGCTCCACCACGACGCCAGGACAGCGGAGTCACTGACCACCTTCCGGAGACACTTGAAACCCTACCTCTTTAAGGAATACCTGGAATAGTATAAAAATAATCCTTCTACCCCCCCTCCCCCATATTTTTCAGAGATTATCTGATTAGTCAAAATACCAATTAGGGGGGAAAAAGGATCAGATTTGGGCTGCCTGTGTAAACGCAGCCATATAGAGATATTTATATAACTATGGCCAAGATCCATCAGAACAGAACCAGCTACCTCCTGAGTGTCTAATTCGGCAGCCCAAATCTGATCCTTTTTTTTCACTAATTAGGGCGGCAGGTAGCTTAGTGGTTAAGAGCGTTGTGCCAGTAACCGAAAGGTCGCTGGTTCTAATCCCCGAGCCGACTAGGTGAAAAATCTGTCGATGTGCCCTTGAGCAAGGCACTTAACCCTAATTGCTCCTGTAAGTCGCTCTGGATAAGAGCGTCTGCTAAATGACAAATGTAATGTAATGTAATGTAATGTCTATGGTAGTAGCAGAACCCTATGTCCTTGAAGAGGTGGATTGTCATCTTGAGCTTGGATACAGAAACAAGTATGCTCATTTATCAAGAATTGTTGAGCAGAGGAACATTACTTCAGTTTGACACTGCTTGATTCAATTAGTAGGCTATTTGCTGCTTCTAGGCTTATTTGTCACCTAAGAAATAGAACAAATATATATAACAAAACCCCATTGTAAACACAGTGTTGGTTTACATAAAACCAAATTACAGTGTACTATTCCTCTGGCTAACTTTAGTTTTATAGAAGGTAGCCCATGTTGTCTTTTGGAAGAAACAGTGACTCATGGTGACTAATTAAATAAATTTGTTAATTGTGAAAAATAAAAAATTAAATAGGGAAAGTTATTACTTGTAATCTGATACATAATCAAATGAACAACATATCAACAAAACATTATTTTTCGAAGATACACCAAAAAGACGGAAATTAATCATCCTTATTAGATATGTGTATGGTAGGAGATTGCGTGTGTGTTATGGGGGAGTGGATGAGTAGGTGTGTGTGATGTGGCCTACGAAAAAAACATGAAGACTTATAAAATGCATCTGCATGTGTAAGTGGTGGGTTGTGGGTGTGCATGGTTGTACGATGTGTAGCTACCTCTGCATGTACATGTAGTCTACGTTTGTGATGCATCAATGATGCATGTCTGAGTCAATTGGTGGCATGTCATATAGAGACAGAAAGGGTGTGTCATCACGGCATTCCAGAGGCATTAAGTCATCTTCACCTCCCCCTATATTCTCATTCAACACTCCGATGAGGTGTCATTCATATAGTATGCCACAGAGAGAGAAGTGCACGTGTCTCCCCATTAACAAAAGGAAATAATACAGGCAAAGTAAACCCGAAAAGAAGGAAGTGGCAGTAGTATTAGGTCACAGTATACATAAGACAAAAACGCGATGCTGAAGTGAAAATCTTTCACTTTCACGCATTGTGATAGTGCTGGTGGTGACAAGTGACAAAAACAACACTAAGAGCAAAATGGCTCAAATTATAATGATGATGCAACAGTCATTATTCACTGTATCTTACATTTTTGTCAATTTATCCTAATGCATGCTGCTAATAGTTTTAGCCTTATTTTGAGCACAGTGAAATCCGATTTTACTCTATATCCTAAAATACAACCTGGTACAAACTGAATCCTACAGTAGGCTATGTATTGGCTTCGATAATGCTTAGTAGTTATTCACAACAGATGAGTCAACCATGTCGGGAACTCAACCCCAATAGAACCATAACGGAGAGCAGGGACTGCAGCGGTTCAGTGATATCGCAGCCAATACTAGATTTAGGATTTAAGCATTTTTATGGAAGCTTTTGACAGTAGTCTCCATAGAAAACCGCCAGCTACTGGCACTGCCAAAAACAGTTGAAACAGATGGAGAAATAATTCAGCAACAGGCTGCGTTCACACAGGCAACCCACTAATTGGTATTTTGACCAATCACATCACAGCTTTTTCAGAGCTGATCGAAAAAAATATCCGAATTAAGCTGCCTGTCTAAACGCAGCCATAGTGTCATTCAGATGACTCACATTTTACATTTTAGTCATTCAGCAGACGCTCTTATCCAGAGCGACTTACAGTTAGTGAGTGCATACAATTTTCATACTGGCCCCCGTGGGAATCGAACCCACAACCCTGGCGTTGCAAGCGCCATGCTCTGTCAACTGAGCTACACGGGGTCAGGCAGCATTGTCTAGATTGATGTGGTCTGGAAAAGAAAGTGTATGCAAAGCATGGGGCAGAAACGTGTAAAATTCAAAGAGAGCATGCTTTCTGCCCCTGTCATGGGTTAGCTGACAACATCACGAAAACGATGCACATGCTTCAGTGGGGTAGATGTCGGTTAGTTGTTGTGATTCTGGATGGCCAGATAGCTGCCAAACAATGACAAGAAACTGCCATGTGGGGAATCGTAAGTGTGTCATTGAAGCTAGTGTCATCATGTTCTTGATACCATGTTGTGTTTTGACTGATTTAATGCTAATATGGCTCAAATTTGCTAGCTAGCTAACCATAAACTGTAACGATGTATTTGAGACAAGTGCTCATTGTGCAAATGTATTTATGTTTTCAATTAACATTGGAGACGAAATATAGTTTACATGTTGTCAAAAATCTAAGCCAACCCCATCTGTTTGCCCTATAGTTGCGCACGCGTCGGTTTTGTTGGTTCAGGAGCTGAAGAAATTCGGCTTGGCCCCTAAGACCCTCAAACTTTTACAGATGCACAATTGAGAGCATCCTGTCGGGCTGTATCACCGCAATGGTACGGTAACTGCACCTTCCGCAACCGCAGGGCTCTCCAGATGGTGCGGTCTGCCAAACGCATCACCGGGGGCACACTGCCTGCCCTCCAGGACACATACAGCACCCGATGTCACAGGGAGGCCAAAAATATTATCAAGGACATCAACCACCCGAGCCACGACCTGTTCACCCCGCTATCATCCAGAAGGCGAGGTCAGTACAGGTGCATCAAAGCTGGGACCGAGAGACTGAAAAACAGCTTCTATCTCAAGGCCATCAGACTGTTAAATAGCCATCACTAGCCGGTTACTCAACCCTGCACCTTAGAGGCTGCTGCCCTATGTACATAGACATGGAATCACTGGTCACTTTAATAATGGAACACTAGTCCCTTTAAAAGTGTTTACATACTGCTTTACTCATTTAATATGTATATACTGTATTCTACTGTATTTTAGTCAATGCCACTCCAACATTGCTAGTCCTAATATTGATATATTTCTTAATTCCATTCTTTTACTTTTCGATTTGTGTGTATTGTTGTGAATTGTTAGATACTACTGCACTGTTGGAGATAGGAACACAACCATTTCGCTACACCCGCAATAACATCTGCTTAATATGTGTATGTGACCAATACAATTTGATTTGATTTAAACAACCAAACTGTCTAGGAGGATTCCCGGGAACACTTGCTGGAGGAAACTCACCATAAATGGGCACTTACGTCATTCGCACGTGGCCAGTTACACGCCGAAAAACAGACAACACCATTTCCAGTAAATTGGGAGGGGCGTAGAAAAACTATAGTATCGGTTTGGGTGTTTATAATTCCACGATCACTCTATACTTTTCAGTCCAACTGGAATGATCAATGTAAGTAAGGAGTAATTTAAATTAATTTGAGAGAATTTAGTCATACACAAGAACAAGCTTTTCATTAGCAGTTTCCTTTTTCCCCTTTCAGGATACATCTTTTCGGATCCTACCAACTTCCAGAAATAAGGAGGGTTTGCCCTATGTTTGAATAGTGAACGTGACACTTTACCCGAACACTTCATCGCTTGCTCTTCATAAAACTCATCTGGTGGATTACTTTGCACTCATCGGGATAGCAGTTTACAATCAAAGATGTATCGGAACTTTGGGGACTTGGGCCGAGGAGACAGCTCTACGTACCCCAACATCGACTCTGGGTCCCCCCACACCGGATCGAGTGCTGTATCCCAGGGCACCAGCACCTCAACTACTCAACAAGATCAGGTAGGCGGCACACATATTGGTCTACGTTGATAAACTTCAGTAAGAGTAATAAATGCTCATTTTTGTTTAAAGTTTTCCACCCAAAAATTATCATATTGCTTAATAATATTAATTGCAGAATGTAGTAATAATAGAGTACTAACGGAATAATAGTGACATAAGAAATGTAGTAGGCTAATAGTTGTATTATAGCCATGGTGTAAGTCTGATTACCATTGTCTGATTGTGGTCTTGTGTTGAATTGATACACATGATGGATGTATTTACCAATTTATTTTGAATTATCAGTCTGTCAAAATTGTTGCCTTTTATATCCTGATACATGCATATGTCCATGTCAAATATCTGGTTCAAAATAATAGTTTTGCTGTAAATCCCTCTGCTTTTCCATCATCTCCTTACACTATTCTTTCTTTCTTTCTTTCTTTCTTTCTTTCTTTCTTTCTTTCTTTCTTTCTTTCTTTCTTTCTTTCTTTCTCTTCAGAAGTTCACTGTGGCAGGAGGCAGTCAGTTTGTTCCCAGTCTCAACGACATCACTTCCAACCAAGACCTCCAGTGGTTGGTCCAGCCCTCCCTCATCGGTCCACCTGGCCCCTCACGGCCTCCACGTCCTCCTTACCCACCTGTAGCAGGAATGAGGTCCTTCAACCCCTCACCTTCCCAACCACACCTTTACAGACCAGGGGTCATAAGGGCAGCGGCAAGTTCCGGAAGCACGACCAGACGTAGGAACGATGAACATGTAAGAATATGTTTCGTCTTTAGCCAGTAGAGTGTAAAACTCTTATTTCAAAAGGTAGGTAGGCATTGTACCAGGATGTGGGTGGATATTTGACCAAAATGCAGATGAATCGTAAGGTCACTTATCACAACATACATTTCGAAGAGGTGGTTGTCTTTGAAGAGGTATAGTTTAGTAGGCCCTAGTGCTGAGCGATTAGTGCTTTTTGAAATCGGTTCGGTTTCAATTAGATTATAAAAAAATAATCACTGTTTTTGATTTAGGTTTCGATAATTTTTTTAGACATTAAATGCACTATGCATTATGTGGGCTGAATGCTGTAACAACACTGAATAAAACCATTAATAAAAGTCCCATGATGGTAGTGACTGCCCATTACTGCTTATCACTTATTAACCATCATTTATTCACATGACTTTACTTTAATATACCTCTCGATCACGCATTCTCTCTTCTCTCAGTCTCAGCTCTGCTCAGACCAGACAAGTTTAAGCAGGAGCACAATGGATTATGGTCATTGTAGTTAATTACAACATTTTCTGAGCTAAATTGTAGAACATTTGCCTTTTGGAAAATACAACTCCCTACTACATCGCACAGTTCAGGCTTCATCTGATTTAACTATACAGAAACCGCACATCCAGCTCACAGAATTTTTTTTTACGAAATGGAATTAAAATAATTGAACCGACTTCGGTCAATTAGTTGTTTAAAAAATGCAACATTTCGGTTAATCGCTCAGCACTAATAGGCTCTTTTCCGTGTAGTTGTTGTCTTACTAATAGTGCTACACTGTATACAGAAACTGTGCTCCGTTGGGACTGAGAGGGGCATGGAAAATGGCAACTAGAGACTTCACAGAGGTGTAGAGACAGATGGTTGAGTCAGTGTGTCAGTAGTGTGTAATATCCTGTAGTGTCTGTGACTGACTTATACTTCTGACATGGCAGTGAGACATTACCACACCCGTCTTGTCTGATAGGATGAAAACAAAATTACAGAAACAAATATTCCTGAGAGCTCTCTTTTGAATGGGATAGATTTGTTGTGAACATTTTGAAATTCCAGATGATGCAGAGGTTGACCACATCTGTTTTGGTTGACACCTAGGCCTATGTACTTTGGAACAGTTATGTACACTGACCTGCTTAATCATTGTTTGAGATACGCCACTAATTTGATGTTAGTGTGACTTAATAGGCTAAGTGCTAGAAAATATGAGAGCTTTTATCAACCTGTTTGACTTTGAGCCAAGATGGCAACACATCAAGTAATTATCAAATTGCTTAACTACTACTAGTAGTACGTTTTGTTATCCTTGAGGGTAGATGCTTTTTATACCTGTTGGCTCTCAGTTACACTTCCAGAATGTGTGGTTGAGTGAACTTGATGGGACAGGAAATGGGCTATCATGTGACTCACCGGGGCAAGTCATATGACTCAAACCTGAGTCACAACGGGGGTCTGAGTGACTCATCATAATACAGGGGTGGGAAAAATTTGATGAACAGAAACAAAGAACTGGACAAAATGTTAAATGAAATTGGAGGAAGTGTGTGACAAAAGGCTCAGACATTACGAAATGCCGTTGTGAAAGTTTGAATGTAGTGACTCAATTTATACACAAGGTGGTAGTATTTCACCACTCTAAACATATTTTCGTCATCTGCTATTTAGTGCAGTCCCCTTCAATTGAGTTGAGCTAGACGTCTTTCAAGTTGTAGTACATTTTTGTGAAACTTATTGGTACTTTTTTCATAGTCATCAAATGTCTTTCTTTCACTTTAGTTGTCCCCAGAGGAGTTGGCAAGACGCAGAATAAGGAGGGAGCGGAACAAACAGGCAGCTGCCAAGTGTCGTAACCGCCGACGTGAGCTGACAGACACTCTGCAAAGCGTAAGTTGAATTTAATTTGAAGAGGCTTATTAACATATATTTTTTACGTTTGTAAATCATATCACCTGTTTATCAGACACATAAGATGTTTTAACTACTGGGTTTTTGTGCCAATTGAAAAAATAAATAGATTGACAATACAACCCTAACCTTTTCTCTTTCCTTTTACCTCTTTTAGGAGACAGACGAGTTGGAAGTTAAAAAGTCCCGTCTGCAGAAGGAGATTGCTCAACTACAGAAGGAGAAAGAAAAGCTAGAGTTTGTCATAGAGGCCCACAGCCCTATTTGCAAGATCCAGGACTCTGATTCTGACCCGAGCTCAGAGCTTCCCTCATTAGGAATCAAAATCGAGCCTGAGGACCTACCAGGGTCCTCAGCAAAGAGCCAATCAAAGACTGAGAAGCCCAAACCCAAAATTATTATCCCTGCTCGTCCTGTGACCTCGTCTGCCGGCCCCATGGAATCTGAGTCCCTTCACACCCCAATTCTTATTTCTACTCCATCTCTTACTCCATTTACAGCTAGTCTGGTCTTCAATTATCCCTCTGGCTCTCTAGACTCCAGTTCCACTATTTCATCCCAGGCTCTACCGCCTATGTCATCTTCCTCTCAACATGATGTGGCCCAGCAGTCTCGAAACCCCCAGCCCTGTAGTATTGCCCATCGCCGTAGCAGCAGCAGTGGGGACCAATCAGATCACTCCCTAAACTCGCCTACCATCCTCACACTGTGATTTAACAGGCTTCCATGTTAGGAAAGACTGAGTGACAACACTGACGGTTATGAAGATGACGACAATGATGATGACGATTATGACAACGACATGGCGTGACACACAAAAGCTAACACACTGACACTCACAAGAAGCATTATGGTGATGCGAATGACTCATATTTAAAGGTTTGTATTGTTACACCATTGTTTGTTTTCCCTGATGCATATAACTTCTAACAATCTATATGTGTTATGATCAAAACCCAAGAGGTAGAATTGTGCAAATGTGCAAACAAAAATGCATTAACTTTGTGCACTTTGGCAATAATGGGGATATTTCTGCATTTGAAATGTAGGGACCACATCAATTTACTGAATGAACACTGGACTTTAATACCTGTAACAACATAGTAGTACATGGTAATAAACACGTTGGTTTTGTTTTAGGATAATCATACGCGCATGCCAAGTTATGTAAACTTTCTCATGTATGCTAGCTATCTTTATATAAAAAATGTATACAGCTAGTTCTCATATTGTATCTTTAGTACAATAGAATGTATTTAATTTATGCAAAACCGCATTATTCTGGGAACATTTTCAAGACAACTAAGGCAGGACCATGGGAGTAAATATAGAATATATAGACATGTATTTATTGTTGAGAGTGTAGTATATTTTTGATAATGTGTCTCTTTTGACTGTGGGTTTAGTGGGCAGTGCCTTCATTTTGATGCGATCTTACAAAGCTGTACAATAAAGAGACGATAAAGACAAAGTTACAGATGTTGATTTGGTGATGTTCAAGTATGTTTGATGACAATGTGATATTTGCATCAGTATGTTAAAAAGTCAAGCAAATTCTATGCTTTAAAATAGTACGAAAGCGTTAAAGAATACTCCTTAGTGTTAAGCCCATTAGTTAGTTGTTGCATTTTGAATAGGTCCTGTTTCCTTTTTGATGTTGCTGCCTAGCAACCTTACGGAAGGGAGTAATGGATGCTGGGGAGGAAAGGGAGGGGGAAACTGGCCATTCCTCTCTGGTTGTCCTTGTAAAAAGCAAAGAACTGTATCACTGACACATACAAACAGATGAAAAGAACACAAATTAACATTTCAGATGTACCTAGTATAAAAGTAATGAGAGAGAAGAAAATGAGGTCACAATGGGACGTGGGTTTGATTGAATGGGAAAGCATGTTTACAGTAAGAGGGAGTCCGGGAAAGTAAAGGAGTAGATCATAATGAGAGTCTGGTAAATGGAGATCTATTAACCATGACCCTGATTCCTGAACACAGAGTTCTCTTGTTACTGTACTTTCCGCAAATGAAGTGAGTCACTCACTCACACGAGGCCCAGAGAGCATATGATAGCAATGGGGGTAAGAAAATAGAGAGAGTGCCTATGTGTGTTCCTCTGTCAAAGGAGCTCTCTGTGTATCACTAAGTTGATGAAAGTGTTACTGTCCACTCCAGATCTCCTTGCTGTGCAAACAGGTCCAACAATAAAACTGATGAATATCCACAATGTCAGGCTGTATGACATGGACAGGAACATCAATCAACTGCAGTCTGGGACAAACAGGTCGAGAGATCAATCAATCACTCATGTTACACCATGTAAAATGAACGTGTTCCTGCACACACAAAGAAAGGTCACAACACGATTGAGTGTCTCAGCCAGTGTATTTAAATCTCTTCAATGCACTACGAGCAGCCCACCAATCACAGCCAACAACAAAGCAAATCTTATCTAATCCAGGAGCATGTTCTATATGCATAAAACAAAAATGTGTATTTGCTAATTAAGTAATATTGATAGGTCAAGTTGATGAAGACAATGAGAGAGTATCTCGACAGAATTACCACAAAACATGAGTTATATTGGGATCCTGACTATTGGCAACTTATACAGAAAATGTGAAGCAGTTGTAATAATTATAATAATCATAACAATAATAATGCAATAAAGAACAGAAAAGTGTCTTGCCTAGTTGCCAACATCTATAAATCCATCATCCTGTAAACTCCAGTCTAGAGCTTCCATTTTGATACAAAAGTGGTTGGTTGAGAACAGCCTGGGGCAGTTCAGTTTTGAGTGAGTTCAGTTCATAGGTGCAGGTGTAAGAAACAAACCAGCAGTGCCAAGTTTAGTGTATTGTACAGCCTAAATTACTGTAGCACACTAACTATGTATCTCGTGCAATTTCAGTGTAAAACTGAAGGGCAGCCAAGACAGCGCTGATAACACACAATTTCATTGTTAGTTTGTGATTTCATACACACAGCACTCCAATCCTGACCTGAGGGACAGAATGCAGCATCTACATTATTTCAATGTTATTTAAAGGTCTCTCACAAAACACTCATCCTTCAAATTATTCAATGGTTTTGGATATCATGTACTAGTATGGCTCAAATCTGTATTGAGATATGAATCTACAGGGATCCATGGTAGCTTTGTCCAGTGCAATGCGGTACAAAATAGTCCACTCCCAGTACAGTCCAGTGCATGAGATAACATCCTAACTCAACCTCCTTCCAACAACACCTTCTACTGTTAACCATATACAGTCTCAATCACTGAAAAGAGGATAACCTCCAAAAAGATTGGTTGAATAAAATAAAAATGGACAAATTATCATTCCAAAAAAGCTTGATGTTTAGTGTCTAATGTCTCTGTAGGCTTGTCATCTTTCCAGGAAAAAAACGTATTTTTCAAGTTTTCGTTTGGACAGCAGCAGGTGCTGAAGCCACACCTGACTGGCTGCCATTCTGGAGATGTTGCTGTATTTTGTTTAATATGCTTTCTTCTTAAAACTATTCCAACAAAGTTTGTGTTCTAGCAATGAATGCTGTAAACAATTATATTCCTACTATGTCAACATATTTCCTCCACCCATATTTCTCTGTATCGTGCTCTTTCACTAATCAGTGAAAGTATCCAGCTGTGTTCCATCTTCAGTCATCAGGTGAGCACACCAGGTGGAGCTGGTCCGGACTACCAACGCTCCCAGTGCTTGAACTTCCATCTCCCAGGTATCGGGACACCATGCACGGCAGGTTGAGCTCAGTGGATCCACCGGGACTGGAGTCACTCCTGCTGACACACTCCTCCTCCAGGACTAGACAGAGTTCTTTCAGGTCCAGATTCTCCTTCACTAATCCGTCCTGCATGCGCTCTAGGTCGGACAGCTTTTTCAAGTAGCCGCCCAGATCCTCACGCATCACTTTGGCTGCGTGGTGACCGAACAGCTGCCATTCCCGTGCCAGCTTCTTCACCTTTAGTCGGTCATCATCAAGAAAACAGCACAAGTCACGCAGTTCTGTGTTTTCTTCCTGGAGACGCTGGTTGATGGTTTTCAGCTCCCTGATCTCAAGCAGGTGGCCCTGTAATTGTTTGTTGACTTCTTTTATTAGCCGTCCACGCTGGATAAGAGCAGAGATCTTTTCAGACTCCTCTTTACGCAGTCGCCTCACCAGCTCTTCTTTAGAGCAGGCGAGTAAATCCTCGTCAGACATCTTTGACAACTCTCTGTTGTAAATCTCACTGTCACTCCCCATATTGTTTTAGCTGATGGTAATTCAATAACCTGAGAAAAAATGGCCTTTTCTGATTACAGGCAGTTGAGGGTACAAATAACTGTAGCCTTTAATTCCTGGGATGCTCTACAATGGGGCATGTATAGCAAGCTTTTTAGTCTGCCCTGAATTGTGACTATCAACTGTCTCTATCCCACCATTGAAGCAAATGTAGGCCAACAGCAATTCTTGGCTTTGCTTATGGATAATGGGAACAGTGCACATGCTTCACATGATCACATTGACGTTTTTCTTTGAGCTATAAAATTACCTGAACAAGGTCGCTCTTGCTATAATAAAACCAAGCAACAATGGCAATATTTGTTTGATCAAATGTCAATCCATCACTCTCAAATCTCACATGATAATCTGCGATTAGAGGCCTTTATGAAAGGAGTGTGCGTTACTGTCCCGTTTTCCCTTTCTTTTCCTTTGTTACTGTCGGCAGGGTGAGGTTTTCGTGCTTTTCCAATCCGTTATTTCGTTTTTATTGTATAGCTGGCTCGTAATCCTACATCGGAAAACCTTGGACAAAGATATGTCAATGTTCTTTCACTGAGATCTCCATGTCTTCTTATCAGAAATGAGGTGCTGAAGAGCATCTGCGTTCGTTCTGTCGGAGCAAATGTTGTATTCCCTCTGTTTGGAGGATTTGTTCATGGCATAACATTCATTCCTTTTGATTATGAACCCATGAGAGGCAGTCATTTGAAATTCACCGAAGAAAAACAAACAAACCATAAGGCTTTGAAGTCACTCAAAGAAATATGAATCCCGATTCCTGCTCATCCTATTGCGTGGTGTGTGGAGGATAACAATGTCCGCCTTCTTCACTGTCACTTATCAAGCGGATGTCTCCTCTCTCACACTCGGTTTTTCTCTCCACTCAGTGAATTTCAGAAAATGATGCACATTTGAAAATAATGGGATTTTCCTTTTTGCTCTCCCCTCGCATAAAAAGTAATAGAAGTGTCAAGCAATCATCCATAGGCGAGGCTTTTCAAACACAACATGGATAAACACAATAAAAATGTACGAAATCGATACAGACCACTTCTGTGGAAGAGATTGAAGGTCAAAATATACAGTAAAACAGTTTCTTGCTGACTATTATCCAACAATATGTATTTATGAGCGTTCAAATCTAGTTGTCTGATGGTGGTTGTGAAGGAGGCGGCCGTAGGAATGCCCCCTCTTCTGAAGCCCTCTCCCCCTCTCCCTTTCCGTTTGGTCTTCCTTTACTGTAAAAGAATAGCTTACGTATTGTATCCAGTGGAAAGAAATGACATCACACATGCAATTTGAATGCATGTGTTTATAGGCATACTAATTTTCTTTAGTCTGTAGCCTATCACATTTGTGTTCAAATCTATGAATATACCAAATCTATAAAATACACACAACAAATAGGCTATATATCATTGTATCTTTGTAGTCTATCGTTTTTTTAATATACATTTTAAAATATTTAAAGACTTCCCCCGACTCTGCACCCCTCACACACACACACACACACACACACACACACACACACACACACACACACACACACACAGCAGAATATGATGCAAAAGCATCAGCATCACACTTTGACGCATAACAAGAAGTGTATCACAGTTACAGTGTGCACAATTTCATATACACAGACAGAAAGTGTGAGAACAGGCTTTTCTATGGTTTAAACTGAGGCATTCGGCCACATCCTTCCGCCCTCCACTTCCTACTCTATTGTTTCAGTGAGGCCATAACAATATAGGGTGTTAGCCAGGACTGGGGAGCGCTTGGGATGGAATCAGGGCACTGTGAGGTTAGCTAATAGAAGGGCTGGAACTGGGAGAGTGAGGGGGTTGGCTGGTTTGCAGTGAGAGGTGTAAAACAAAAAGACAGTTGACTATGTCGTTTTTCTCTTTTGTAATTTTGAAAGGACCCAGACAGAAACAGCAAAAGGAGGATGGGAGGGGTGAGGAGAGGGATTTGGTGGGATTTATTCAGATTAATCTCTGTGGGGAAAGAGCGCATGCCCACACACACACACACACCACAATTCCTCATAATAGCTCTCTACTCTTTACCATTTTATTTGTGTTTATTATGGGAAAATAACTAATTCTGATTTTCCTTATTTTATTTTTTATTTTATTTTTTAAATTTGATTGTGTAATGGGCGTTCCTAACCAATTGGAAAGTGGAAATTTACCACCATCGAGTTAGATAGAGGACTCTAAATGGATAAAATCCGTTTTAGCATGGACATTGCCATTGAGGGCTACCACCATTTTAAAGTAGTCAACTGGGTGGGCCGTCCTGTGGGTGAAGGAAGGATTAAATGAGTCCATCTGGGTCATCAGGAGGAATCAGCCAATTAATTATGCTTGTGAGCAAACATTCCATAACTGCAGCTGGCTGTAAATCACCAACCGTGGCTTTATACCCATTAAAACAACACACTCTAGCTGGCAGTATGCACCCTTTCAGTTTGTCTGCCAACTCATAAAAGTAGTAGAAAAAGAAAATGTACTACTTCAAAATGGAGATGGTCTCAATGGCGCTGCCTGTGCACTCACATACATCATAATGGGACATATATAAAGTCTATACTTTTAATGGTAGGTTTATTTGAACAGTGAGAGACAGAATAACAACAACAAAAATCCAGAGAAACGCATGTCAAAAATGTTATAAATTGATTTGCATTTTAATGAGGGAGATAAGTATTTGACCCACTGCCATAATGTCCATCGTTATATTTGGAGGAAAAATGGGGAGCTTGCAAGCCGAAGAACACCATCCCAACCGTGAAGCACGGGGGTGGTAGCATCATGCTGTGGGTGTGCTTTGCTGCAGAAGGGACTGGTGCACTTCACAAAATAGATACAGTGAGGGAAAAAAGTATTTGATCCCCTGCTGATTTTGTACGTTTGCCCACTGACAAAGACATGATCAGTCTATAAGTTTAATGGTAGGTTTATTTGAACAGTGAGAGACAGAATAACAACAACAAAATCCTGAAAAACGCATGTCAAAAATTTTATAAATTGATTTGCATTTTAATGAGGGAAATAAGTATTTGACCCCTCTGCAAAACATGACAGTACTTGGTGGCAAAACCCTTGTTGGCAATCACAGAGGTCAGACATTTCTTGTAGTTGGCCACCAGGTTTGCACACATCTCAGGAGGGATTTTGTCCCACTCCTCTTTGCAGATCTTCTCCAAGTCATTAAGGTTTCGAGGCTGACGTTTGGCAACTCGAACCTTCAGCTCCCTCCACAGATTTTCTATGGGATTAAGGTCTGGAGACTGGCTAGGCCACTCCAGGACTTTAATGTGCCTCTTCTTGAGCCACTCCTTTGTTGCCTTGGCCGTGCATTTTGGGTCATTGTCATGCTGGAATACCCATCCACGACCCATTTTCAATGCCCTGGCTGAGGGAAGTAGGTTCTCACCCAAGATTTGATGGTACATGGTCCCGTCCATCATCCCTTTGATGCGGTGAAGTTGTCCTGTCCCCTTAGCAGAAAAACACCCCCAAAGCATAATGTTTCCACCTCCATGTTTGACGGTGGGGATGGTGTTCTTGGGGTCATAGGCAGCATTCCTCCTCCTCCAAACACGGCGAGTTGAGTTGATGCCAAAGAGCTTGATGTTGGTCTCATCTGACCACAACACTTTCACCCAGTTCTCTGAATCCTTCAGATGTTTAGTGGCAAACTTCAGACGGGCCTGTATATGTGCTTTCTTGAGCAGGGGGACCTTGCGGGCGCTGCAGGATTTCAGTCCTTCACGGCGTAGTGTGTTACCAATTGTTTTCTTGGTGACTATGGTCCCAGCTGCCTTGAGATCATTGGCAAGATCCTCCCGTGTAGTTCTGGGCTGCTTCCTCAACGTTCTCATGATCATTGCAACTCCACGAGGTGAGATCTTGCATGGAGCCCCAGGCCGAGGGAGATTGACAGTTATTTTGTGTTTCTTCCATTTGCGAATAATCGCACCAACTGTTGTCACCTTCTCACCAATCTGCTTGGTGATGGTCTTGTAGCCCATTCCAGCCTTGTGTAGGTTTACAATCTTGTCCCTGACATCCTTGGAGAGCTCTTTGGTCTTGGCCATGGTGGAGAGTTTGGAATCTGACTGATTGATTGCTTCTGTTGACAGATGTCTTTTATACAGATAACAAGCTGAGGTTAGGAGCACTCCCTTTAAGAGTGTGCTCCTAATCTCAGCTCGTTACCTGTATAAAAGACACCTGGGAGCCAGAAATCTTTCTGATTGAGAGGGGGTCAAATACTTATTTCCCTCATTAAAATGCAAATCAATTTATAACATTTTTGACATGTGTTTTTCTGGATTTTTTTGTTGTTATTCTGTCTCTCACTGTTAAAATAAACCTAACATTAAAATTATAGACTGATCATTTCTTTGTTAGTGGGCAAACATACTAAATCAGCAGGGGATCAAATACTTTTTTCCCTCACTGTAGCATCATGAGGAAGGACAATTATGTGGATATACTGAAGTAACATCTCAAGACATCAGTCAGGAAGTTAAAGCTTGGTCGCAAATGTTCTTCCAAATGGACAATGACCCCAAGCATACTTCCAAAGTTGTGACAAAATGGCTTAAGGACAACAAAGTCAAGGTATTGGAGTGGCCATCACAAAGCCCTGACCTCAATCCTATAGAAAATGTGTGGGCAGAACTGAAAAAGCGGGTGCGAGCAAGGAGGCCTACAAACCTGACTCAGTTACACCAGCTCTGTCAGGAGGAATGGGCCAAAATTCACCCAACTTATTGTGGGAAGCTTGTGGAAGGCTACCCGAAACGTTTGACCCAAGTTAAACAATTTAAAGGCAATGCTACCAAATACTAATTGAGTGTATGTAAACTTCTGATCGACTGGGAATGTGATGAAAGAAATAAAAGCTGAAATAAATAATTCTCT